TGCTCCACCAGGGCTCCTTGGAATGAGTCATGGAGACCAAGAAAGTGAGACCAGGACAGGAGATTTAGGAGTGGGTGGAGGTTGGGCTGCCCCTGGCCAGGGTGAGCTCTGAGGGCCAGGCTTTTGGAGGTTGGAATTAGGGGTCAGGTATGGGGGCAAGATGACAGGAAACTTCTGCCATCCTCCAGGCTACCCGTGACCTTGCCCAGTATGATGCAGCCCATCATGAAGAGTTCAAACGCTATGAGATGCTAAAGGAACATGAGAGACGCCGTTATCTAGAATCACTGGGAGAGGAGCAACGAAGGGAGGCAGAGAGGAAGCTGGAAGAGCAACAGCGCCGGCACCGAGAACACCCCAAAGTCAACGTGCCTGTAAGGATGCCCATTCTTCTCACCCTCACCATGTCCAACTCTCCAAGCACCAGAAGACATGAAAGTAGCTGAAGAACTATAATTCCCAGCAGCCTCTGAAGCAAAAGAACCCCCGTTAATGTACCTAGCTGTCCCAGGCCCTTCTGGGAGTTGTAGTTTTCTTGTTTGAGTGGCATGACATTTGGGAGATGGGGGTAAAGGATTCTCTAGCTTTATCCCCTAGGGCCCAGACTTGCTCATGAGCGCTCGGCTCTCCCCTCCACAGGGCAGCCAAGCCCAGTTGAAGGAGGTGTGGGAAGAACTGGACGGACTGGACCCCAACAGATTTAACCCCAAGACCTTCTTCATACTGCATGGTAAGGTGGGGAGGGAGTCCTAAGACCCAGGCTGACCCCTGAGGCTCTGACCTTTCTGGGGTCTGACTTCTAAGGGGGAGCCTCCCCATCCCAGTGGGGCTTAGTCAGGCGTAGGAGGTTGAGCCCATCTCCCCTGGTTGACCAGAAGGCCCTGCCCTTCCCTGTTGCCAGGGCCACGATCTTCCATGGAAAGACTGGACCTCGTTCCCAGGATGGGACTGGCTGGTGTCCACTAACCAAGTGAATCAGGCTTGGCTAAGCCTGGGCCCCCCTCCCATGGCAGCCCAGAAGCCCTGTTCCCTTCTGGGAGCCTTCTAGCTAAGGGTGGACTGTTTCCTAGTAACCAGGCCTACACAGGCCTAGGAAGCCCCTTCTCCATGGTGGATCAGAGGCATAGTTCCCTTCAGTCTCTTTCCGTCTAGTCTCTTCCATCTAGAAATGTGGCCTGGGGTTGCTAGGCCTCCTCAGGCTTGCCCAGGACTTGAGCCAGAACCTGTAACCTATCAGTGTATCTCAACAAGGCCTGATTCATTCATTCAGCAAACACTTACTAAGCTCTCCCTAAGCACCAAGATTTGTTCAAGATCTTGTGGATACAGCCATGAATAAGACCGAATTGCTACCCTCACAGACCTAGTGATCCAGCAAACAGATAATTCTGTACTTCAGCAAATCTCAGGGAACATTGATCTCCAGATGCAGTAGAATTTTATGTAAGCTGCCAATTAAACTGGCACACCACCTATGATAGCACCTATAATGTCAGGAATGCTAAAATAACAGAGAAAAAAGTGCATCTTAGAATCAATGAAATAGGTTCTACCGTAGAGTCTCATGTAATAATACATACCATGGAAAAGAACACAGCAGGGCAATTTTAACTGGCAAGGTCAGGAAAGGTTTTGGTAGACCAGCACTGTCCAGTCCAACACTCCACAGTGATGGGAATGTTCTACATCTGTACCGTCCCGGTTTGGGTTAGACATTCATGTGGAGATGGAGAGTAGATGGTTGGATATTCAGATGTGGAGGCAGCTTAAGGATGGCTTCGAAATCTGAGAGACTGGAGGAGGCCATCTAGGGAAGTGTCCAATAGATCTATCTGTGATGCTAGATAAATGTTTCATATCTGGGTTATCTAGTATGGCAGCCACCAGCCACAAGTGGCTACTGAGCCCCTGACATGGAGTGAGTGGGACTGACGATAAACTGAAAAAAAATTTTTTTTATGCTTTAGGTGAAAGTTTACAGCTCAAGTTAATTTCTCATACAAAACTTTATTCACACATTGTTACGTAACATTAGCTGCAATCCCTATAATGTAACAGCACACCCCCCTCTTCACCCCTGGTTTCTTGTGTCCATTCAACCAGTTCCTTTCCCTTCCTGCCTCTGGACAGGAGCCGCCCACTTGGTCTCGTGTATCTGCTTGAACTAAGAAGTATACTCCTCACGAGTATTATTTTATGTGATGATAAACTGAAATTTCATCTTATTTAGTTTTAATCCATTTAAAGAGCCTCATGGCTAGTAGCTTAAACTCAAACCTGTTGCCATTCAGTCAATTTTGACTCCTGGTGACCCCGTGTGTTTCAGAGTAGAACTGCTCCATAGGATTTTCTTGGCAGTAGTCTTTTTTTTTTTTTAAATATTTTGTGTTCTCAACGAAAGTTTACAGAGCAAATTAAGTTCCCGTTTGATAATTTCTATACAGATTTTTCGGTGACATTGGTTACATTTTTTTCACAATGTGTCAACATTGTCTTTAATTGCATTCTGGTTGTTCTGTTTCCAGCACTCTGGTTTCCCTGCCCCTTTGCTGTAATCTTTACAGAAGCAGATCACCAGGCGTTTCTTCCACAGAGCCACTGGTGGGTTCAAACCGCCAGTCTTTAGGTTAGCAGCCAATCACAAGCCAGTTGTGCCACCCAGGCTCCTTGCATAGCGGCTACCATATTGGACAGCACAGGTCCAGAGGTAGATAGAGAAGAGGCCCGATGCCTGAGCCTTGCAGTACATCTATGGGTAGAGGTAAGGAAAAAGAGGGAGCTGGCAAAGGAGACTGAAGGGCAGCCAGATTGGAGAGAATGATGTTCTGGAAGCAAAGGGCAGAAAGTCAAGTAAGATGCGGATTGAAAATTAACCACTGGATTTGCAAGATCACAGTTCCTGGCAAGCTCAACAGGTGCTTATACAAGAGGGCAGAGGAGGGTAAGGGGCAAAGGGGGAGACTGAGCATGGCCCAGAGCCTGAGGAGCCTGGAGCCCTGTGGCTGTACGAGCTAGGCTGGTGTAGAGAGGCTTCCCCAGGCAACCAGAGCCAGCAGTGACCTGGTTCTCTGGGAAGCAGAGGCCCCTGACACCCCTGGATCCCAGGCAAAGGAGGTAGGTGACCTTGTGCTCACAGCTGGGTGCTAAGACTGAGGAGTCCTGCATGCCGACAGGCCCAAGAATGACCCCAATGAAGCCCAAGCCCAGCCTTCATCTCCTCCATTCTCAGGAACCTGGTTGCTAGGGAACTGGCCATCCTAGCAATGGGCCTGGTAGGACGCTGAAGTCTGAGAGCCACCATTCCGTCACCAGAGACCCCTTGTTCCCTGTCTTCTGGTAACAGACCCCCCTCCCCCATGTCAGCCCAAAATTCCATCACCAGCCAGTGTCTCAGGGACCTGACCCACCCAATTTGCCTACCCCCAAGATACCTTGTCTCCTCTTCAGATATCAACAGCGATGGTGTCCTGGATGAGCAGGAGCTGGAGGCCCTCTTCACCAAGGAGGTGAGCATCCTGGAAGCTATGGCTGCACGGATCCTAGTGGTCCCGACTTAGTCCCTCTGGATATAAATTAAGGGTAAACTACAATTCCCAGCAGCCCCTAAGGCAAGAGGAGGCTGCCATGAGTGGCCGGGTGCCCCAAGTTCTGCTGGAATTGAAGTTCTATCTCTCGGGAAGGGGAGTACCCTGGGAACAGCCTGGCCATGGGCCTTTCAATTCGTCCCGCCTCTTTCTTGGCCCTGAAGCTGGAGAAGGTGTATGACCCAAAGAACGAGGAGGATGACATGCGGGAGATGGAGGAAGAGCGGCTGCGCATGCGCGAGCACGTGATGAAGAATGTGAGGCGAGGAGACCCCATGGGGGGAGGGGCGTGGCGGCGGGGCCCCAGCTCTGTCGATTACGCTTATTTGGTTTCCAGGTGGACACCAACCAGGATCGCCTCGTGACCCTGGAGGAGTTCCTTGCGTCCACCCAGAGGAAGGAATTTGGAGACACCGGGGAGGGCTGGGAGGTGAGGACATGGGGGATACTCTGGGTCCTGAACCTCTCTGTCCCCCTCCCAGTCCTTCTTTGGGAACTCTGGCCACTTCTCTTTGTCTCTGGGCCCTTGTCCTCCTTTTTTTAGGTCTCTGTCTCTCTCTCTTGGGGCCTGTGTCCCACTTTCTGAGTCTCTTCCTCTCTCTGGGTCTTTGTCCCAGTCAGGTCTCTTCAGCCCCACGCACATAGCCTCAGCCTGCCAGCCTCCTCTAGATCTCGTCGCAGAACCCTCTCCTTTGTGGGTGGGCCAAGGCGAGAATTACCCTCACTTATGGCCCTTGTCCCCGCCCTCTATCCCAGACAGTAGAGATGCACCCTGCCTACACGGAGGAAGAGCTGAGGCGTTTTGAGGAGGAGCTGGCCGCCCGGGAGGCAGAGCTGAATGCCAAGGCCCAGCGCCTCAGCCAGGAGACGGAGGCCCTGGGGAGGTCCCAAGACCACCTGGAGGCCCAAAAGAGAGAGCTGCAGCAGGTGACCGGCTGGGGAAACTGGGCCCGCCCTCTGTATCCCTGGTGGCCCTTATCCCAGTCAGCATGTGTGTCTAGAGGCTGGGAAAGCCTGCCGACTGCCATTTTAATCACTAATAGAGCTTTAAGTGGAAGCTGCCATCTTGAGTAATGGCAGACATTGTCTGTCTTTGACAGCTTTGTAGCTCCCATGTTGGATAAGGTAGTGAGGTGACAAGTGGGTGAGGGGGGAAAGAGAATAGTAGACCCTGTGAGGGCTCCCCCTGCCCCAAGGCATGACCGCAGCCTTGAGTGGAGAGGGGGGACTGGATGCTAGAATACTAAGCCGGTCCCTCAAGGAAAGAGAAAACCTGAGGCCCATAGGAAAGGGAGTGGCCCATGATCACGTAGCAGGTAGCTGTGCAGTCTGTTTGGGGACTGAGCATCTTCGCTTGTTTGTCTATGTGACCCCACTCCCTGCCCCGCACCCCGCAGGCTGTTCTACAAATGGAGCAGAGGAAACAGCAGCAGCAGGCTCTCAATGCCCTGGCCCCTGCCCCCGGCCGTGAGGGGCAGCTCAAGTTCCACCCGGGCACAGGTGCTGGCTCCTGGGGGTGGGGGCTGCCATCTGACTTCTGGGTCTGAGGGAGGAGGGGGCTGGGATATGGGACTCCTGAGAGAGAGGGGAGGAGTTGGGGACCTGGGCTTGTGAATCTGAGGGAGGAGGCAGATGGGAGCCCAGACTCCTGGGTCTGAGGGAGGAGGAGGCTGGGAGACCCAGACTCCTGGGTCCCTGGGGGAGGAGGGGGCCGCGTTACCTACTGCCACCATCCCTCCCTCCATTTCCAGATGGTGTACCTGTCCCAGGTGCAGCCGATGACCAGAAAGACAGGGACACTTCAGAAAAGAAAGTTCCTGAACAGCCTCCCAAGCTGCCCCAGCTGGACTCCCAGAAACTGTGATCCTGTCGGGGCCCAACCATCTGGGTCCCTACCAGGGCGGCTCATGGGAGGGGGGAGATCTCACAACAAACCTCCCCTGGGGGCCCGCAACATGTGTGGCCTCCGGGGGAGGTGGGGCAGATGGGGTGGCACCTCAGGTGTTGCTATGCTGTGTTGGCTGTCCCAATTCTGCAGCCCCAGGTTCTAAGTCTGTACTCCATCTTTCTGTCCCTTCTCCCAGGGCCTGCCCCCTCTGTGTCCAGCTGTCTTGGTTTTCAAGCTCCCTGGATGAGCCAAACTTAGGGAGACCCCTCCCGGTCTGAGCCGTTCTCTTAGATGGTCTTGCCTCAGCTGCCCCAGTGCGGCTGCTCCACCATCCTGTGTCTCCCCAGCTGCTAGAGTCCTGCCTGCTGCCTGGGGCCCAGCCTCTGTGGCTGGTGGTGGCTTTGTGTGGTCCCACAAAACCTTCCCTGATGTTTTTGGGAGCAGCAGTGCCTCGAGGACAGTGTCTTCCCCAAGGCTAGTTGCTAAGGGTCCTCTGCGTAGCTGGTCAGCTCTGATACCCAGAGCCCGGGCTCTCCCTGAACCCCTGGCTTTTCTCCAAGCCTCCTGTTCTCTTGCCCCACAGTCCCAGAAGGTTCTATACCCAGAGCTGCCCCTGCCTCTCCCCGAGGCGCCTCAGGAGCAAGCCCTTCAGCTTAAGGTTGGAGGCCTTACAAGGACGGGCCCAGCCTGACTTTCTGGCCTCGTCTGATGCTGCTCTGTGCCCTCCTTTGGCTCTGGTTCCATCCAAATACACTTTTGGAACGCTGGGAAGAAATTCTAGGCTCTGAGTCTTTGTATATGCCACTTCCTCTGAAATCCCACACCCACTTCACTTGGGAAAGTCATCCTCATTCTTTAAGATTCACCTTAAGCATCACTTCTGAGAAGCTCAATTCTGGAATCTTGAGTCCTCTGCCTGTACACACACGTGCATGAATGCATGCATGTCCTCAGCTGTACTTGTCTGGGTGATGCAGGGTCCTTCCAGCCACAAGGACAGAAAACCCAAACCTTATTCATTATCGCCCAAAACAAAAAGTCCCAAGGTAGAGTGGTTAAAGGGCCTTCAGGGAACCGGTTCTTCCAGCTAGCTCTGCAGGGTAGGAGTGGGGTAGCACTCTCCTCGTGGTCCCAAAGTGGCTGCAGCTGCTGCAGGGGTCACATATCTGCATTAGCAGCCAGCAGAAAAAGAGGCCCCATCCTGTTCTGAGTGTTGTCATAAGTGGGAGAAAACCTGTCCTCAAAGCCCCCCTACCAGCTCTCCCCTTACGTCCCATTGGCCACCAAACACGGGAAGGCTGTGGCTCTGCTGAGGTGGCATGATTCACTCTTGAGATGAGGATGGGGACACTGTGGACCAAATCTGGGTCTGGTAGAAAGGGGATTGTGTGTTCAAATGAAGTTCTATTAAATAAGTCTACCAGAAACACCAGATTTTATTTTATCTCTACACATGTGGATCCAGAAGCAAGTGCCAATCTTGTGGCTTAACAAGAAAACAGACAACTATTGATAACTCTCAGCAAACAAAGACATCCATTTAAATATTACTGGGACACTGCATTATTAACTAATAAAACAAAAAAGCCTATTGCCATCAAGTTGATTCCACCTCTCAGCGACGCTATAGGACAGAGTCAAAACTTTCTAAGGCTGTAATCTTGGTGGAAGCAGACTGCCACATCTTTCTCCCAAGGAGCAGCTGGTGAGTGGGTTCAAACTGCCAACATTTCAGTTAGCAGCTGAGCGCTTAACTACTGCACCACCAGGGCTCCTTATTAACGAATACAATCTGTTTTAGCACTTCCCA